ATTAATATATATTAATTAAATTATTATAAACACTATTACATTCTATTTAAAATGCTACAGATCCATTTTCATTACTACAATGAAAAAAATATTTAGCAACGTTATTTTTTTAACATTTTATGTTCAGCATATGGAAAAAAGTCATACAGGTTTGGAATTAATAGAAATTAAATATTACATATATTTATTATTTTGTAATTATATTGAAATTATTCAAATTTAAATGATTTAATATATATTATTACTTGTATATTAATAAATATAGTTTAAATTATTATAAATCATATTTTATACTATTTAAAATGTTATATGCACACATATGAGATCCATTATCATCGCAGCATTGCAAAAAAAAAATAGTACTTTATGTTCAAAGAAGAAAAAAGTCATACAGGTTCGGAACGAATTGAGATAAAGCTTGGCAGGAAATGTTACTTGTTTATCCAGTTTATGAGGCGACAGGCTTGATTTCCCATCATCCTCTCCAGCAGCGCAAGAATGATAAAAACACACAGATAAACATCAATTACACACTTAATGTGCATCCTTAGCTCTTCACTACGACTAAAAAGCCTCCTACGTCTGCCGAGAACCATGAAAGAGAGAAAGAAATACATAAAATTGCCCACAGTGTCTTATTTTATCGATTTTGATTTCTGGACTCTTAAGTAGCAGCTTCGCAGGAGGGAACGATTGTTACGGCCACCACAGAGCGATGACGCATAGATGGTCTGTTTTGCCACCAATGTTTAAACAAGCTTGGAGACATCATAGCAGTGGCATCAAAGCTGTAGATGTGTGACGTGGGATTTTCCAGAGTTGGAAGTGAGAGCAGCTGCAGTCAAACGGCAGTAGGTGAAGGCCAGGATGCCACAACTCAAACTATTCCCGTTTGGGTTTGAGTTATTTATAAAATATACTTTTTTGGCCTAAAAAATGACTTGTAAACAACAGAATAGCTGCTTACAAGACTAAACTTCTAAAGCTTTGTATTGACCACTATGTGCTCCATAAAACAACATGCAAAGCCTTATGGGATACGTCTGACATGTGCCATTCAGCTGTTTTTTTTTGTTTTTGTCTGTATCTTCTCTCTATGAAGGACCACTGGTTTTGGAGGGTCAGAGATAACGCCGTGATGCCCGGTTACCCCATGCTCATCAATGTCTTCTGGAGAGGTCTGCCACCCAAGATCGACGCCGTCTATGAGAACAGCAAGGGCAAATTTGTGTTCTTCAAAGGTAAGATTTCTACACATCAGATCGACGTACACAAAATCACTTTCACGGACTTTTAAATTAACTGTTCCCTCCTGGTCGAATGACCTGCCCAACTCAATCCTTAGCCATCTTCAAGAATCGGCTAAAACACATCTCTTCCATCTTTATTTGACCCTCTAACTCTAGCACTCTCTATTCTAATTCTATTCTTAAAAAAAAAAATTGTCCCTTTTAGACTTGCACTATATATATATATAATCAAAATAAAAATAATACTTATTAGGTATCATGAAAAAATATATGGTAAAAAATATTAGGGTTCTCACAGTTGTGCATATTTTAAATAATATATTTAAATAATAGAATTTATATACAAAGTTATAATAATTAATCATTTAATTGAAATGTAATTTCAACATTAATATTTCTAATATTAATATTACTGTCTATAATTTGTATATTGCCGTGTTACAGATAACATTAATAAACAATTATAAATGATTATTCTTATATTTTAACCATATAACAACAACAACAATAATAATAATAATTATTATTATTATCATTATTAAATTTTATACATAATATATTATCAAAATAAAAAAATTAATAATTATTAGGTCTCATGAATAAATATGCTAAAATAAATTATATAAATAATACAAATATATTATATAAAACACAAAGTAAAATAACTATGAATGAATGTGAATAAAATACCTCTCATGTAATGTGTTTTTGATGAGAAATGTTTGAAATCACACCGAGCTCATTATGATCGAGCTTATAAACTCATCACATTTGTGATTTTCTTCTAATTCCTATCCTAAAAAAAAAATTGTCCCTTTTAGACTTGCACTATATATATATATAATCAAAATAAAAATAATACTTATTAGGTATCATGAAAAAATATATGGTAAAAAATATTAGGGTTCTCACAGTTGTGCATATTTTAAATAATATATTTAAATAATAGAATTTATATACAAAGTTATAATAATTAATCATTTAATTGAAATGTAATTTCAACATTAATATTTCTAATATTAATATTACTGTCTATAATTTGTATATTGCCGTGTTACAGATAACATTAATAAACAATTATAAATGATTATTCTTATATTTTAACCATATAACAACAACAACAATAATAATAATAATTATTATTATTATCATTATTAAATTTTATACATAATATATTATCAAAATAAAAAAATTAATAATTATTAGGTCTCATGAATAAATATGCTAAAATAAATTATATAAATAATAAAAATATATTATATAAAACACAAAGTAAAATAACTATGAATGAATGTGAATAAAATACCTCTCATGTAATGTGTTTTTGATGAGAAATGTTTGAAATCACACCGAGCTCATTATGATCGAGCTTATAAACTCATCACATTTGTGATTTTCTTCCCATGTGTACACAGTGTGTGTGTGGTCCATGTGGAGGCAAATAAACACTTTTTTTCACACTCATTGCCGGTGGAAAGCAGCACAGAGTGAGGATCTCTTACACTGACCTCTGAGCAGTTAAGTAGGTCAGAAAGCATGGCCAAATCTGGACATTTAAATGTGTTGCTCTGGATAACGCTGACCTCCAGCCAACATTTACAATAAAACCATCCTGCAATTTCACTTTCACAAACATACTCGTACAATCACTGACAAAACACAGACATAAATGAGCAAACACACACAACTCTAGGTTCCAGGGGTCTTCAGCGAGCTGTCTCGCACTCTTCGGCCATGACCCCGCTGAGAGGGCCATGAGAAAGACACAGGTGACACAGAATGACGGACCTGTCCTCTTCTGACCCCTCGGACTCCAAACAAACCATGACGGCCCGCTGCGCCCCTGCTCTCCTAAAGCACACTGACATTTTAAAGTGAAGGCATTAACATGTCAGGTCTGAGTAACAGTGGCGGACGCGCGGCCAAAGGCCTGCTCATGGTAATTAAAGGCAAACAGGAAGTGCCTGAACTGTGAAATTGAATGTTCAATGTATCTATAACCTCAGTGTCAGATTATCAGTGATTTGAGGCAAATTTCACTGGTAGAAACAGTAAATGTGATTATGGTTATCTTTACAAAGTTTGTCCATTGGATAAATGTGCATACGGTGGGAGTAGGGCTATTGTCCATTAAGAACATTCATTAATTATAATATTTAATAATCACTACTGCATTGCAAATATAATAATAATAATAATAAAATGTAAAACTGTATTTATACACAATTTGTCTACTGCATTAAATTTAACATTAAAAATGTAAATAAATAAATAATTTGAACTA